CCCCAAACATTAAGACCAAAAAGAGCAGGGGCCGAAGCCGCGGCGGGTCTCGCCGGTCCGTTACCCAGCCCGGCCCCGCTGCCATTTCCCTCAGCGCCCGCCGSCACCTGCGCGCCCCCGGGGGGCTGCGGCCTGCGGCGGGGAGAAGGGGAAAAAGGGAATAAAATGACAAGCGAGGCAGGACTTCCATGACTTTGACAGGTTGTAGCAGGGGCGGGGAGAGGCAGGGATGAGACGTGGAGCCCAGCGTCGCCCAGGGCCGGAGCGGCGCTCCGGGGAAGTTGGCCCGGGTTTGCTGCGCGGGGTGTGAGTGCGCCCGCCGGGCCCCCCTCACCCCATCCCGCCCCCCATCCCCTCTTCCCATCCCGCCCCTCATTCCCTCCGCTCCCCCCGATCCCGTGGAATCCGTAAGGAACCGGTGGATCAAGTTTTCCTCTCTCTCTCTTTCTCTCTCTCTCTCCGCGCTGGTTAATCGCATTGCTGTAGCACCGGCTGACCTCCCTCCCTCCTCTCCCTTTTTTTTTTTTTTTTTTTTCTTCATCTTCCCTCAAAGTATGTGCCATTCCTGAGCGAGTTTTCCCTCCGGCTCATCCCGGGGCTGCCCGGCTCCCCGGCTCCGCATGCCCCACCTGTAAGTGCCGGGGGCGGGTTTCTCTCTCCTATCGCTCTCCCCCTTGTCGTCTCTCTTTCCCCCCTCTTCTCCCCCCGACTTTAAAAAAAAAAACCATTTTTTCATTTTTTTTTAAACTTTCTCCATCTTTCTGTTTCTTCAGCTCGAGCAAAACTCTCTCCCTCCATTTGTTGTGGAGAGGGAGGCTCAGCAGCTGGGATTTGCCATCACCAGCCTAAAAATGGTGACCAAACTTTTTCTTTTCCCTCTCCTCTTCCTCCTCCTCTCCCGCTTGAAGAAATAAAAAAATCAAGCCGTATTTTAGTTTAGGTTGTGGATGTTTCTGTGTTTCTTTTTGTCTTCCTTTTTCTTCCTCCTCCCTTCCTCCCCTTTCTTTCCTTCCACTTCATTGGCTGGGATGATCTTTCCCTGTTGCTTCTGATGTTTCTTTCTTTTTCTCAGTGTGTGCCTGCCTACCTGGACTAGGGGGAAGATAAGGTAATTTTGAAGGGCTTGAGGAAGTGGTTTACCTGTTCTGAAAACTTTTTTGGTTTTTTTGAGATTTATTTTTAAGAGTTGTGAAAATCAGTAATTGAAGAGAGTTTGGTAGCAGCTGGGCAGGTTGAAATTTAAGTGTTATGTGCTGAATGCCTTGGCAATTTGATCTGCTTTATACCAAAGAAGAGCACAGAGAAAAGTATTTATTTATTGGGGGAAAGGCGGAGAGCGGGAGCGGGGGGGAAGGAAAGAGGGTTAAGGGAGGGGGAGGGAAGTGGTTTTGGAGACAAGAAGTGAAGCTGCCTGTTTTCCAGTAAGTAATGGAGAAATTCCAGGAGCCAGGGCTAAATATACTTGGCGATCAATACAGAAATGGCTCATTGTGAATAATTTAGCTGCCTGGTGCAGTGAGAGTTTTGAAACTAAAGGCAAAAAGGAGGCCATGGAGAGAGAGAGGAAATAAAATTCTCCTCTGGTCATGTCGGATTCTTAACTTTTCCACTTAAAAGAACATAGTTATGATTATTGATCTCTCCATTTTTTTTTCACCCCCACAATATATATCAAATGATAGCTAGGGGGTGTCATTCTATACAGTTACTTGGGTTTCGGGAAAGTAATAGCTTGTTCTGTGTCAGCAAAGTGCTTCCAGAAACTTTAAGATTGCTTCACACCACAAAATGCATGATCTGGGACTATGAAATGTGATGTTTGGCCCTGTGCTGTGGCAGATAAATAGGGTTAGAGTAAACAGGTGTGTGTGCAGGTGTGTGTGTGTGTGTCTGTGCATGCACAGAGATATGAGACAGAGCTAGAACAACTCTGTCCTAGGGGAATGGACATGGGAGGGTTTATCTTGTTTAGACCAGGAAGGAGTCTCTTGTAGTGCGTGTGAGAAGAGCAATTGTTAATAGTATCCATATCCTCTAAGTCTGTTCTGGCTGCAGATAGAGTGGATAATTGATAAAGCATTACCATCCCAGCTTGAACAAAACAAGTGGAAAGTCAGGGAAAAACTCTCAGATCAGGCAAAAATGTGAGTGGGGCACAGAGAGAGAGAGGTATGGTCAGACCAGGATGATCCAGGTGCCACCTGCCCAGGAGGCAGCTACATGTCTTTACTCACATAATTTACAGGAAGAGTTCAGTGATTTGCAAATGAGCATATGCAGTGTACTTGTGTGTTTCTCTAGGCAGTGGTTGCAACAGCAATAAAATGGGCAACTACTTAGGGCTTTAAGTAAGTTTAATCATTTAATAGTTGATACTGACAGGCGTCTCTGAGGGTGTACTTTTCTGCCTTGCAGCACTGCACTTTGACTATGGAAGCAGAGGCTGTTGATGGATATATTACATGTAAGTAGTCATTTTGTTTGATTATTCTGAATTACTTCTCTTTTCCTACTCTCCTTTGTATGATGCAGACACTTGAAAGTTTAATTTCCTTGTGTACAGTGTTTGCATTGACACTGAATTAGTAGCATTTAAATATAAATTCTCTGTATGACTGTGAAATGCATGGGAATGGGTGCATGGTTGAGTATCTCTAGGTTTAAATATTTGCTGAGGGTGAATGAACTTTGTGAATGAAAGAGAGTTCGTCTCCAGAAATTCAAACTGCAGCCAAAAACTTTTTATGCCTTTCCCTATGTATTTCTCTTGTTTTATATGGCGAGTTTTGTATAGGTGTTTTGTTCAACTGTCAGTTAACCCAGAGTTTTGGGGAGAAAGTCTGTATGGTGAATTACTGTTCCAATCTTCCCCTGCCCAGCCTGGATTCTCACTGCTAATCGAAAAGTAATCCTAACTTAGTGAAACCAAGCAGTTGGGACAAGGTTTGTCACAGGAGTGTGTGTAAAAGATYGGTGACAGTAGGTTTGAGTAGGGTCTTAAAATCAGCCAAATGCTTACGTGTGTCCACTGGGAGTCCAGATTGTATAGCCTCTGGAAGACCGTACCAGTAAATGAGGGAAGGACAGGAATGAAGAGAACAAGTGGGTTGTGGTTCTTAATCTTTGTGTATTATTGCTGGAGAAGGGGATAAACACTTACAGGGGACCTGTTTTGTGCTCGCAGGTGACAATGACTATTCGCCTGAAAGGGAGCACTGTGGCATGGCCATCGACCTCACCTCCAGCACTCCCAATGGGCAGCACACCTCCCCCTGTCACATGGCAGGCAGTAAGTCTCCTCTTAAGCCTGTTTCACTCTAGCTGAGGGTTGGGTTGTTCTGGTCCTCCTGCTCCTCASTTTGCCTACCACATCTTAGCCACTGCTGTTGGCATTGCTAATAACAGAGGAGGATAGGGGAGAGTTTCTTTTGTTTTTTGTTCTTGTTCGTGCTGGTGTCTCATCTAAACATGAACGGGATTACTAGTCTGAACTATCCCAAGGTGGCATTTGAGAGCTGGTCCTTACCTGCTCCAGGTAGGAAAACACTAGGCTTGACATGTGCTGGCTTTGTTCCTCAGGTTTTGAAATCCAAATGGAAATTGTTGTTATTATTATTACTATTACTTGYTTTGCTTCTTGAAACAGCTTGAAATAGCTTTATTTGAAAACAAATTTTATTTACAAAACTATAGTTGACTATAACAAATGGAAAGGATTTCGGTTTAGAATGCCAGGTAGAAACTGAGAGTTTTGGGAGTGTACTGAGAGAGTCAAGTGCTGATAATATTTATAGAATTATTCTCCTGCTATCCATGGGAGGTGGATAAAGGTAGTTTACACAATTTCATAAAAGCAACAACCTTAATTTTCTGTGTCTGTGAGTGCCCTACTTTGTTTAAGTGTCTGTTACAGTGTTACATCAAGATATTTACCTTAGTGTAACCTCTGTACTTACAATCAAAAAAAAAAGTAACATATTGTGCTTCCAACATACTTACAGTGTTCCTCTCCATGTGATACTAATTTTCTTTCTGGTTTGTGTGTGCAACAGATACATCTTTATCTGTTTAAACCGAGTGTTAGTAYAATGCCCTACGGAAAGCTGTGAGAGAAAGAGAGCTCTTAGGATTGCTTGCTTAAAAATATGCAGTGTATTGTCTTCAGAGTCTTTCTGAGRAAAAGATGTTACTTGACTTTAAGAATTCCTTCCTCTTGCAAATTAYGGGTAAAGCGCAGTTTTACGAGCCTTTAAACTGGGGGTTATTATGAAGATCTCTCAATTACATACATGTTGCTGGAGAATATGATTTCTAATACTATGGACTGAACTTTATATGACAACCACCCATAATTCAGCATCTTTAGACAATTCCAATTGTGCTGCACTGGGATTCTGATATACTTTATTATGTTGTAAAAGTTTTACTACTCACTTTCTTCATTTTCTTTGTTTCCTTTTTATTAATGGGAAAGCTTCATTGGAAAGGAAAAAAAATCTGTTTTAAATCTTCTTTATAATCTAGACTAAAAACCAAAGTCAAAATAGGAATAAAAAGATCTAGAATGAAGTAATGCAAAAGGCTTTAACACACTCAGTATTTTCATGTTCATTGTGTTAACATTTTCAATGGTTTTTRAGCTCTGTTAATTCTTTACAACACACATGTATCTGCAGCCTTGGTGARTATCTTGGTTTTTTTTTTAGAGGAGTTTTTTGGTCTCTCAAGGTGTCTTAAATGCTTTCATCACTGCTGGTCTGCCTTAAAGATGTGCTGCTGTTGAAAAGTTAAGGGGTTTCCCAAGCTAAGCAAAACTTAAGCTTCTTAAATTTATTAAAAATTATTTTCTCTTTGCAGGCTTAGGATTGTTTTGCAGAGAGGCGGCTTGTGCTGTCTTAAACATGGAAGATATTGATCAGAGGTTGTCGGCTTTTGTGGCAGCTGTTACATTGGTTCATTTAAGGTTTTTGGCCAAATCTTGAATCTGGCATGTGAAGGCTAAATCACCAGGCTGTGCTTTAGAGCTTTCCACCTGTTTTGTGGGGCACAGGAAATCCTTTTAAAGGTTTGGCAACTCAGGGGCCTATGACCTTTTTTTTTTTTTTTTAAACTCTTTTGGGTTTTTTTTTTGTTATTTTAAAAGAAGACATGAAGATAGAATAGCTGTTCGAAATATTTTGTTGCATTTAGTAGCTCCCGGTGGATTGATCCATCATCCACTGTTTTAAGTGGAGGCAGTGGCTGTGTTCTATTTCAATATGGTTTGATTTCYAGTAGGCTGCTGGAGATTAAGTGGTCTTGGCTGCCATTGTAGCAAAGTCCAGGGCATGTCATTCTGGCTGAGTAGGGCTTGGGAATGGATGAGGTGATACAGGGAGCAGATCCCAAATATTTCACTCCAAAATGAGTTGCCAGTCATTGCCAGAAATGCATGGCCCTCGTTGTCTGTGCACTCTGATGTGCACCTGCAAGGTAGAGATCTAAGTTTTGGCCTTTGTTCATCTTGCATTCCATTCAATTGTTTTGAACTACAGCTGTTAATTTAATCAGAATTTGTGTCTGGCTCAAAATGAGAAACACCAAAAGCAGGAAATTTCTTGGATCTGTGCTGAAATGACTGTGTAGTGCTCTCCCAGCAACAGCAAAATTATGTGCTGGATAAAGAGTTTTCTATGTTCATTAGCTCCTGGCAATCTGTGTTAGTAGTTCTGTCTGGRTTACTGATGTTTTCAGGGTCTGTTCCAAAAGGGTTTGGGTCAAATATTTTGGCTACTGCATCCTTTAACCTTACTATCATTTTCAAGTATCTAGATGGTATTTGTAGGTTATGGATGGGAATGACACTCAATTTTCCTTGTGAATGAGATGATCCTGAAAGATGAATCACACTAAATCACCTGTCATAGCTAACTGATGATCTTACGTATACCTGCCTTTAGCAGAGCACTGCATGTGTGTTGGCAGATGCTCTGTTCTAAAATACTTCATTGTAGTTTTATGTAAGCAAAGATTTAAAATACATGTAAATAGTCAAACTGAACAGGTTGATAGATCATCTCACTTTTCTCTACAGCAAAAGATGAATTAGTGTTGCACCTGCTGAGTACAGATGATATATTTACATAGCCCCAAATCTGGAAGTTCACATTTTCTTTTGATCTTCCATAGGAAAACTCTTACAAAGGCTGACACCCAGAGCTGGGTGTCAAAGGCTTACTCAATTAACTTTGTGTTGGTACTAGAGAGTTCCCTGCATGGCCGGCCCTAAGCCCCCTCATAGACCCCACCGAGTTCAAGGGAGTCTGTCTTGCTCCCTTCCGTGAATGTTGAACTGGGCTATAAGTGATCAGAAACCTCCGAATAGAACTGGCATGCTAATTAAAGGCTAATGGGGAATCCTTATAAAAGAGGCTTTAAAAAGAAATAATTCCCAGTCACCTCCTCATAATACCACACTGAGTTCTTACTTCAGTTATTAGAGATATTTTTTCCCTGCAGGTTAAAATGGACTTAGAGGAATGTCTGCTTTAGAAACTGCAGGGGCACAGTTGTACAATTAGTTGACTCAATCACTGCTTTGTATGGGATGAAGGACACTTCTCTAAGATCACTGGCCTGGTATCATAGGGAAAATAGTAGCAGCAGCTGTTAGTATCTGACAGTCAGAGACAAAGGCAATTTCCCCTTAAATTAGAGACTTGACAGTGGGTGTCCCAGTTAACTTTCTTATCTTTGCTTTCATAGACAAAAGGAKCCCTTAAACGAAGCAGAGTCAGAACAATCATAAATATCAAACCCAACATCTGATACTTGAAACTGATTAAAATTGTGGTACGCTTTCAAGAGGTGTTTATAGTAGCTTGAAGTGTTAGTAAGTTATGAGAATTAATTTATTAAGAGAATAAGCCATGTCGGCTGACTCTGCTGCTGAAAATAATGAGRTGATTGCATTTTCTTGGTGGTGGGGAATGATTGTGCCGTCTGACGAGATCACTAATTGGGACAGCAGCACTAAGTGGGAATGATTTCAGCAGCGGTGTTTAAAGAGAACTTGGGCAAAGTTTTATTATAATGTACCCAATGCTATATTCCCAGTGATTAGGGTGGACTATCATTTGCATTTTTTTTTGTAGCATCAAAGGCCCAAATATTTTATGATCACTTCCATTTTTCAGACCTGAATTGTCRTATGACTCCTGTTTTATCACAGTTGTGTTGTCCTGATCAGAGAGTTGCATGTACCACAGCTTTAAATGTACATCTGTAGGGATAAAGAAATGTTAGCTGTGGAGCCTGACTGCTGAAATGAAACTGCGTAAAGTTAGAAGTTACTCCATGCCTCAGCTCCACGGCAAACAAACCTTACCATCAMCAGAATTTACTGCCAGGCATGAGAGGCTGAACCTTACACTAGGATTCTTTTCTGGCTCAGTATATTCTGGCTTTTTAGTAGGATGAGGTGATGGAGGCTGAACCTCTGCAGGAGGCTTTCCTTTAGGGAGGGTGATTGAAGCTGGCTGGGCTGGGCTGCAGGGGGGGACTGAATTAGTGCTTTGAGGCAGTCACTCCCCTGATGTGTGCACTGGGGCATGAGGAATTCCGGCAGCCAAACTGCTGTGCTCTGAACTGGGGATTCAGGTCTCCATTTCTTCCAAATATCTTGGAAAGTGCTAAACACTCGTACCTGATCACATCGAGATGCTGAGGAATCGTCTTCCYTCAGCAGTCTGTAAGGAGTACGGTAGGCAGCATTTATTGTTCTGGGTATCTCCTATGAAGGGAGRTGGACTTAGGACAGTCACTTGAGATGTCCTCCGGTCCTTTGTGTCTGACTTTGCAGTCACACTTTGATTTTTTTAGAGCTCAGCTATGGATTTGCACGATGATGCCCAATTACAGATGTACCTGTGGTTTTGCAGGTTTAAGGACGGTGAAGATGGACTATGCCAAGATGAACTCAAACATGAGGCATGAGCTCAATAAAGTGTGGCAGGGAACTGTAAGAAGTGACCTCCTTTGACACTCACAAGAACACTGTCTTTGCTTCAGTCTCATATCCTCAGACTTCCTAAGAATTGCCAGGGSAATAGTAATCATCAAAGTTTTAGCCAATGGATTTAGCTTTCTTGGAGTTTGAGAATAAAAAACATTAAATGGAAAGGTGATAATGAGGATTTTAACAGAAATAGAGGGGTTTTTCCACACCTAGGAAATCAAAGCTCTGCACATAGCGTTACACTATGTATTTCTTGAAAAAAAGCCCAAACAAACAGAAAAAAGGGTTACCTG